ATCACTCCCGAGCCCTATTGCATGCCGTCCATGAGCTCTTTCCAACCCCTGATATCACTGGACATTCTGGGGAGAACCCTGTCTCACAAAAGAAGCTCATTGTTGATCGCGAAGGTGTGTGAGATGTACTGAAGGAAATCCCTGGATGGATTTTTGATGGAGTTAAACGTACCATGCAACTTCCTACTCCAAAGATTGAGAAAATGCTCCGTACGATCCGAAACCTCATCCGCCACAAGTCATGTGCCACTACAGAGTTTCAGTCCATTGTTGGCAAACTACAGCATGCTACTCTTGGCTTCCCAACCAAACAAGCATTCATCACTCCATTGTACCACTGCCTGAAAAGTGCAAACCCAGGTGGAAAAGTGCACATCCATCCACAGTCCCCCCAACATCAGGCTCTTCTGGACTGCCAACAAGCCCTCAGAGCTATGGTGGACGAGCCCATTGACTGCCGCCAATTGGTCCCAAATTTCCCTGCCTACATAGGCTTTTGTGACGCCTGTAAATATGGCGCTGGAGGGATTTGGCTATCAGGCCACCAGCAAATCCCCCCTTTGGTTTGGCGAGTGCAGTGGCCTGAAGAAGTCGTGGATGCATTTCATGATGAACCAAATGGCTATCTTACAATCAATGATCTGGAGATGGCAGGGGTTCTCCTGACATACCTTCTATTGGAGCAACTTGTCCCCATGGCACACACCCATACAGCTCTATGGTGTGATTATACTTCAGCGGTTTCCTGGACAAGCAAAATGAGCAGCAAAAAATCTGTGGTAGGCCAGCAACTTGCCCGGGCTCTGGCACTGTGACTGTTTCAAAACAAGGCATCTCCTCTGATTCCATTATCAATCAGAGGCGAAGACAACCCCCAGGCAGATCTAGCCAGCAGGTCTTTTCGGGACACTGGTGTCAAGGGCAATTTCAATCTTGATGATCTCACCTTTATTGCCCATTTCAATGATTCGTTCTCACTTACACAGGGAGCCTCTTGGCTCAACTTCCGCCTCCACAACAAGCTCCAACAGCGCGTCTTTTCCATTCTGCTGCGCAAGCCGCAGCCAACGGCGTCGTGGATGCGACTGCCAAGCTCCAGCGTCGATATTGGAATCATTGGGAATGCTGGTGCCAAGAACGTGAGTTGGACCCATTTCTCCAAGCAACAGTTCAAGGACCAATGCACGACCATGACCGAGTCCAATGGCTCCATGCCTATGCTGAAGCAATTCGACATGGCGGGGCAGGTCGTGGCCATCGAGTCAGAGTTGGCTCTGTCAAAGATGCGCTTGCGGCCATTGCAACGACCTTCCAACTGGCTGGCCTAAACCCGCCCACACACATCGATGGCTCCAGAAAACACTACAAAAAGCTCTTAGAGCGTCAACTGCGTGGGTACACCAAAGAAGACCCACCCACTGAGCCTCACTATGCTGTTCCAGTTTCCATTACTGAAACAATTTTGGATGAAGCCACAAACTATCAACGTGTTACCCCCTCCCCACGCCGAAAGCAGACCGCCAGGAGCAGAGCCAAAGCTCTTGCCATTGCAGACCTGGTCTGCATAGCTTTCTATTTCCTCCTTCGAGTGGGAGAGTACACAAAACCACCCAAAAGCCAAGGAACGAAGCAAACCATCCCTTTCCGTGTCGGTGATGTCATCCTCAAAGATAGCAACCATCATCGTATACCCCATACAGCGTCAATCCCACTCCTTCTCCAAGCTACCGAAGCCACCATCTCGATCCCGAACCAAAAGAATGGTGTCAAAGGAGCTCTCATTTGTCAAGAATGCACTGGAACCAGATACAGCCCAGTCAAAGCACTAGCACGACGGATTTATCACATTATGAGCAATGGTGGTGGTCTTGACACACCAATCTACACATACTATATCAGTCGAAATCTGTCCCATTACTATGTTTCTCCAACCGAGATCAACACAACCCTCAAGGAAGCTGCTGCCCTGCTGCAATTGTATACTCCAGAAATGGGGTACACGAAGCGAGATATTAGCAGCCATTCGCTCCGAGCTGGAGGAGCAATGGCCATGCATTTGAATGGTGTGGATCCACTCACCATCCAAATTCAAGGTCGTTGGCGCTCCAACACATTTCTTTGCTATATTCATGAGCAGATTAGTGCCTTCTCCACAGGCCTATCCCTCAAGATGTCACAGCATATTCCTTTTCGGGCAATCACTGGCCCCACACTACTCCAAACTTGTGCCCCATTGGCATAGGGTAGTTTAAGCTGTATTTAGCAATCCAACAGATTTCCTACTACTGAATTCTCTGCTACCACTCTGTCTGTCTACAGCAATCAGAACTTGTAGCAATTCATTACTCCAGAGTAGCCTTTTACTCTGCCTGAGTCTACTCTGTCTACCCGGCTTGAGAGTTGCACGTGGAACCTTCCATGGCACGGATCGTTCCAATCCAACTCTCTCTCCGAGCATGGAGCACCATGGAGTTCTCACAGCTGTGTCATTGGGGCCAATGGCACCACTTGCACACAGCTGAGGGTTAGGACCAAAGCAATAGTAGCACTAAAAGCTCTATAGCCTTGAGCCCAAACCACTTAGTACTCCAGCTCGTAGCTCTAGCCATAGTGTAGACAGGGGTAGACAATAGCCCTGTAGGTTCCTACAATGTCATTGCTAGCTTGCCCACCTAGCTTTATGAGTCTGGCTATAATCTGTCGTTGCTTTGCCGCCAGCATTATAGTCCGAGAGCATAAAGTAGAGGCAAGTGTGCGTCTAAAAGGAACGGTTCGGAGCTCTCTCCGTGGAGCCTCTCTCTTCAAGAAGAGGACTCATTCCTTCTTCCAACGCACCAGAGCAATGGTGAATGTAACCTACAGAATGGCTAATAGAGCCACAGTACAGTGCTGAGACTTGTTCTATCCCAACCCACCTCACCCTTTGTTTCCTGTAAATGAGTTCTCACAGCTGTGTCATTGGGGCCAATGGCACCACTTGCACACAGCTGAGGGTTAGGACCAAAGCAATAGTAGCACTAAAAGCTCAGTGGTCGAGAGATACCGGAAGTGGTACCACCACAGCTACTACTAGTACCACTACGGTACCATAGCACGCTGTACCACCCAGGCAGCCAGCGACATTGGTTCCCAGTACATGTGCCTTCATGTTGGATTGCGAAGAGGAAGTTGGTTCAGGATACCGGTGGCTTGCATAATATCTACTTGCTAGCTAGACAACGTTGTTCTCATCAGTCTGTTCGCTGCTGCTCCCAACGCTGGTGCTTTGGCTGCCTAGAACCGTATGGCGATGAAAAGGTGGATTGTTTGATACCGGGTGCATGTGAGACTTCTTGTGTCAGGCATTTAGCCGAATCAATCGAGATCCTCGGCCACTTTCCACAGCATGGTCGTGTAGCCGTGCCAACTGTGTGCTGCGCAGCGGATGATCCTCCTCTTTTGGTTGATATGCATATTATGGATAGGGTATGGTGCCAATTGCAAGCTGTGCATGATCTGCGATCCTCGGCTCTTTCTCAGCCAGCATTGGACTTGACAACCAATGCCCTCTCGAGCCACGTTGAGCTACCGATGTATCGTTCTCGAACAACGCAGCCATCATCCGAACAGAATCCCCCACTACTGCTGGCTTAAGCCAACCAAAAGTGCCGGCATACTAGCTAGACTAAGAGGGAGCACAATTCAGCCAATAGCTAGCTAGAGCATATACCTTGTCTACCAAAGCAAATCACTACTCCTCTACTTGTGTTTCTTATTCCTCCTCTCTGCTGTTGCAGCAGCATCAGTGACGGCAGCAGAATCGGATGTGCCCCGCCGCAACCACAGTTTTCTAGCCACAACTAAAATGACAAGGACTGGGGCAAGAAACACAGACACTTCGATGATCATAAACACAGCAATAGTAATGGTGAGTTCCCAGCGCGTGTTGATATGAGGGAATGGTTCGTCGATTGGGCACTTGTCATTGTCAACACCCAGAAACTGACACAATGGTGCATAGCCATCCTTCAAATGAAACAGCAAGGCTCGCTTTGGTTCCTTTTGGGCAAACTTTGTGCCATCCACAACAAACTTGTCGTACATTTGTTTTCGTTTGGCAATGAATTTCTCGTCGGTGGGGTGCGTCAGGTACTCCATGGCGTAGTCGGGTCCCACGTCCATGGAATGCATCGCCGCTTTCACCATGACACGGACGCCCACATCCATGACAGGGACCCACCGAAAGGGATACCGGAGCATGGGCTGGAGCACCTTGAGAGTGTGTTGCATGCTCGGTTCCCACCGATCGTAGTCTCGAATGACCACAATAAACTTGGCATTGGGGCGTTTCTTGCGGACCTCCTGCCACCACCAGGAATGGACTTCGAAAGTGGCATTGCATCCTTCTTCTTCGGTGAGACGGAGTGCGTCATCGATGCGGTCGTCGGCAAAGGCTTCCATAATGCCCTTGTATCCCTTCATGGCGATCATCTCGGTTCCGTGGCAGGTTTTGTAACCGAGCCGAGTCAGGGCTTGGGCAAGGGACCTTGTTCCGCTTTTTCCGAATCCAGCGTAGGCGACTCGAATGGGTTCTGGTTCGTTGGCCACGGCGAGCATCACTGCTGCTACCGACAGCAGTAGCAATAACAACACACTTGTTCTCTTTACTAGTATCATGATGACTCGTTTGCAATACTGCAAAATACACTATTCAATGATACTATGAGCGATGAACAAAGTTCCTATAAAGATATGACAAATCGTTGTGGTGCAAAAGAGAAGAGAGTTGGGTTGACATTTGACTCGTGGAAGACTTGAGATCTGCATGCTTGTGTTGATGCCAACGATCGATGGAACAAGCACTTCTATGTGAGGGAGTTGGCGGGAAATGGGCTCTTGAAGCATCCTTTTGTTGGTCCCCAGCAAGTTGGGTTAATCTTCCACTTTGAGTCATGCTTTTAATTTGCATCAATCTTCCAGATGTGTCATTCTTCCAGATTGCGATACCTGGTACTAATTACTAATCAATGTTACGTAGAGCCTTCCAGATTGTGTCATTCTTCCAGATTGTGTCATTCTTCCAGATTGTGTCATTCTTCCAGATTGTGTCATTCTTCTATTTTCACTCATTCTTCCAAAATAAACAGTTGGAACTGCTGTAGAACAGTAAAACACGTATTCCCGCAACTCAGTGGTACGTCATCACGGTGGTACCGATACGACAATTGAGGGGTGTTCGATAAAACTGACTCGTGGAGCACTTCTGGATCTTTTTGCCTTTGATCTTTGATCTGACCACGTAGCGGTACTTCTAGCTAGCTAAAGTAGCTACCCGTACCGATACCACCCCTTTGTGTGCCGTCACCGTTGTGCAGGTCGAAAGTACGATACTAGTACTGGTAGCTGCAATACCGGCTGGCCTTGTACAGTGCAACCCATACAAATGTTGCTGAGACTACTAGTAATAGTAGATCATGTACTGTCATGAGTGAACAAATGGGCTTGTTACTTTTGGTTTACCGTCCTACAGGAAGAGAGAAATCCGAGATCTTCGCGTCAACAGTAGCATCTGCAGTAGTATCATCATATACAATGTAAATGTCCACAGGATATCCATATTGTTGATTGTAGCTCACTTCCAGGTATTTGGGGCTTTGGTTGATGGCGGATTGAATCATGGTAAAGAGCTCATCAAAGCTCATGGGATGAGGGTTGTTGTTCACCCAATTGATCTGGTTGCTATTTCCATCCATTGCGGTGACTTGGACACCATTGGACACTGTAATAGTCCAGGGAAAGACAATGTTTTGAGGATTTGGTCCAAACATGTTGAAGTCATAGGCATATTTCAAAATATTCATTGACTTCCAAAGTGCCACTGCCTGGTTTAGTTGTTGTTGTGCACTGGTTGGAGTGGGACCGGGAGTGTTGCTGCCACCAAGGGGGACGAAGTGGGTTACCTGCACTCCATAAATGCTGCCATCAGACCTAACAAAATGAATGTTGGCGGGAAATCCTTTTGTAGTGTCATATTGAACTTCAATATCAAGATCTGTGTTGGCATCAATCTCATTTTGAATCAGTGTAAAAAGTGATTCCATGGACGGTAGCGGTACACTGGATGGGATGTTATTGAAGCTGGCATCTACTCCAGTGATGACACCAGGGTTGTGTGGGGAGTTTACTGTGACAGCCCATGGAAAGGGATATGTGGAAGGAAGATTGGTTCCAACTCTTTCATACTCTAATTGGTAGGATTGGAAACCCAGTCCTTCCCACAGAGCTTGGTTCCTCTCCAGTTGATCTTGTTCTGGCAAAAAGTTGGGTGTTGAAACTGCAGCGCCTTGTTGAGCCAAAAGAAGCCCCAAGAGGCCTGTGGTGGCAACAGAGTAAATTTTGTTGTTGTGAGTCATCTTGTGATGCAGACGTCTTATTGTGTTTCTTGTGTTTTGGTTTTGTTGTTTTGGGTTTTGTGAGAAAGGAGATGGAGCATGGAGAGTGGTACGAGAGTTGTACGTAGGGACTTCTGCTGGCTAGCCAGCACGCGAACAAGACCCAGCAAGATTGCATCCAACCGTGAACCGATCGATTGACTCGACTCAGTCGAGTCCCAGTTTTGTTGAAAGTTGGGCATGCTGTTTTTCGTCCCTTTGGAGGTCCAAGCAATTGTTGGTCGAACGCTTGGGCTTACACAGCAGCAACGGAGCTCTAATAATGTTACTACCGGTACCAGCTAGCATGTGAGAAAACTTAGCCTTCCTTGGGAAGCTCAAGAAAGAAAAGGAAGAAAGTGTCCTTGGACTCCTGTACCTACATTTGATGAATGGAAGGCATCGTGTCCCGATCGTCTGCTTTTACCCACAACCAGCAGGCTTGGCAAGGCTGCACGATAGAGCTAGAGGAACACCTACACCTACAAACACGTCGATGTACAGTGCATCCTCCAGCTATTAGATTGTCGCGTTTATTGTTTTGCCTTTCCTTCCTTGACATTGTCGTCCTTTTCATTGTTGTCGTCTGCCTCGTCTTCCACTATTCCGGCTTTGGTAATGACAACTCTTTGTTTCGGTCTGCCCGAACTGCTGCCATTCAATTCAATGAGTTTGACCACATCAAATCCATCCAGGACACATCCAAACACGACGTGTTTTCCGTCCAACCAGGGCGTCTTTTTTGTCGTGATGAAGAATTGGCTGCCATTAGTGTTGGGTCCAGCTAGTTGTCAAGTTCAGTAGGGAAACATATAAGAGGGAAATGATGAGATGCGCATCGACACCTTCATTGAATGATGAATCCTCTTGTTGACAAATACTCACCATTCGCCATAGACAAAATAAAAGGTGCAGTATGCTTGAGTTGAAAATTCTCATCCTCGAATTTGTTTCCGTAGATGGAGAGACCACCAGTTCCTTTGAAGTACAGTATTTACACAGAAGGTGAGAATCTGCCCGCACGTGGAAGCCGTCGAAGATTGTGTTCCACAGAGTACATGGTTTAAACCTACCATCATGTTGTGTGAAATCCCCGCCTTGGATCTATCCACCCACGCAAAATGAAAAAATGATGAGTAAGATCTAGCAAGGGGCTGAAGAGGTGAATTTGCGCATGCCCCTTCCGAACTAACTCACTCACCATGAATCCAGGGATAATTCTATGAAACGTGGTCTTGGAGTAGGTCAAATCAATGTTGCCCTTCTTTACGGTTCCTTTGCAGAGTGTTTCAAAATTTTTGGCCGTCTTGGGGACCACTCCACCGTAAAGACCCATCACAACTCGCCCGGCTGGTTGCTTGTCGATGGACACATCAAAGTAGACCTTGGAAGTGACTTCTGCCTGAGGTTCTGGCTTTGTAGCGGCAGCGATTGCGCCGTCCTCCTTGTCCAAGTTCATGTTCTTCAAACCATATCGGACACCAACAAAGGACAGCCCAAATACCGCTGCCGTGGCGACATGCCACATCATGTTGTTGTTCCCGCCGCCACCGTTAACGGTTGGATCGGGTGTCTTTTTGGGTGCGGTCTCTTTCGCAGACTCGGAAAAGAAACGTTGACGGACCAGTGTCGGTTGGACGCGGACTGTTCGAGAGCCATGATGTCTGCTCGAAACCAGGAATACTCGGGGTAAGGTAGCTGCCATTGTTCCTTTCTTCGATACATGTAGATGAAAAGCCTGAGGCTACGAACGGCTTTTTGACCATGGGCTAGCTGGTGGGGTGTTGAAAGATCCAAATCTCTGATTGATCTTTGGATCTTTCAAAAGCCAGTAAGGCTGTTTGAAAGTCATGCGAGTGGTTCATGACCATCAATCCTCCCACCGTACCGGTACGCTAGCTGCTGGTAGTAGCTTTCGCTTGCTCCTCCTGGGAGCTCGGTTCCAAGTAGCCCCTCCCAAGTGGGCGGTACCACTACTTTTATCTAACTAACTAAAGTAGCCTCCTGGCGGTACCGGTACCAGGTACCGCCTGTGTGAATGCCGGTGCCAGTCGAAAGTAAGATAGCTGCGATACTGGCGGGGAGCTAGCGACCTTGGTTCTCAGTAGGATGTGCCCAACATCAGCGAAGAGGAAGTTCGTTGGATACCGGTGGCTTGCAAGCCACCAGTCCATGCTAGTAGACAATGCTGTGCTCATCGCTGCTGCTTCCAACGTTGGCGCTTGGCTCGCTTTGGCTCCCTATGGCTGGTGCTGATGGAGAATCCGGACTAGCCGGACAGTCAACGAACAATCAATCAGAAAGTTGTGCAATGAAGAGGAGGTTGGATCAGCTGGAGGCAAACCAAGTAGAAGAAAACCAAAAGAAGGGTGAGACTAGGAACCAGCTACGGCATGAAAGAGTGGCACCAGGGCAGGGCGCGGAAGCGATGCTGACACTTGGCCTGCAGCTCTTCAAACTATGAAACTATTATATTAGCTAGGTTTGAGTCGACTAGCACAACACCGGAGAGAACAAACAAATCGAACCGAATCCGAGCGCAAAGCAAGAGAATTGCGAGACTCTAGTAGCAGTGTCGGCCGCTCCAGAAGATGCACCCGTGCTTTCGGTTTGACATGATGAATGAATGGGAGCATGACTACTTGGATGACAAGTGAAACGGCCGATGGACAGAATGGGAAAAAATCGGTTAGACTTGAGCTGCGAGCAAAAGCGAAGCAAGGCTGCATGCATGCATGCCACTTTGGTTCAGCAAAGTGGCGGGGACAGTCTTCAAAGAGTGCTCTGCCGGCCGCCAACTTCCAACAACAGAAATGTTGACTCCGAAGAGCAAATAACTACCAACGACAACCATGCATGTATGCATGCGAAGACTCGTGGACCGTACCTTTTGAGATAGTTGTGGTTGTTGCATGATGAAACCAACGCGTTGAACTAACCTGTTGGATGACTACGAAAACGGAGACGACCACCAAATGGACGACAGACGGCCACCTTTGCAAGCGAGTACGGAACGCGGACGGACAGCATGCATCGATCTCGAACCACATCGAACGAACCTACCGGTACTAGCCAAGAGAAAAGACAAAGAGATTGGCTAGTGAGACGCGAGCGACCCGCCAAACAGAAGAACTGACTGTTACGGTACCATAATGTACGAGGACGAACGACCCAACCAAGCACCCCACAGAGGAACGAACCGCCGCAAGATGACTAGGATCCGTTCAACCACACAGCGGTCCGCGCGAGGGTCCATCCGTAGATGCACATCTCGAGGCACGTGAACATGGGACTCTCAATTCCATCATTGTCATCGTCATGCATGCATGCATACTCATTGTCTTTTGAGGCAGAAAAGACAGAAGAAGTATTTGTTTGTTTGTTTGTTTGTGTGTTTGTTTGTTGTGATGAGACGAGAGACGAAACTTGAAGCAGCGATCGTTTTCGTTTTTGAAACTGGCTGTCTTGCCTCGAGAGAGGTGTCAACATCGAACTAAACTAAACTAAACTAAACAAAAATCAAAATGTGTTCTGTCATTGGACACCCAAGATCGGTGGTTGCTCCCATTGGGATGATGCCATGCCTGCAATGGATCATGATACTAGCTAGCTAGTATGGTAGCTTCGGAACTTGCCACTTGCCCCGGAAATCCCCAAGATTATGATACATCTTACATCCATGTACATGTGTGTCCTTTGAGCGAAGTTTTGCTACCTAGCTATGCGTACCTGGTACCAGGTACCACCAGGTACTACGTTGTCTATTGGACAAGCGTCGTTATTTAACGCTTCTGTCGTTAAATAACGCTACTAGAAAATGCTAGCGTTAAGATGTTTCTGCAGCTAGTAATATATAGATGATAGGCTAGCGTTATTCTACGCCATCGGTTGTGTATGTACACGTATGCATTGCCGCGTGAGTATGGCGCAACAGACGGGTATCAAGCGTGCTAACTCGGAGGATGTTCCGGGCGTGAAGTTTTTTTTTCATTTCTTTTCCGAAGAAAAACGAGGTCAAGATGGCGAAAACGACCGCGTTTTGGCGCCATTACGCCATAGCTGATCATGTCGGACACCCCTCAAGACACCCGCAAGAAGGTTGGTGGTGAATGCTGGGCTTTGGCCTCGCAGGTCACCCATGATGCAAGGCGAATGTTTGGTGCATCCTACAAGACAACGTGGATCAAGGGAGTGGTCCAAGAGGTTGAGATGAGAAAGAAGAACGAGCACTCGAAGAGAGGAACGAACTATGTCAGGGCGCTCTACAAGCTTGACAGTGCCAGGGCCAAGGATGTGTGGATCTGCCTCCAGAGTTTGAAGGCGTCCAATCCCAACAAAGATGGAGAAGATCCAATTGAGAAAGCAATTCGAGAATTTCCTGATCGCACGTTCCGTCAAGCCTTTCCCGACGCAAACCAGGACACCACCACCCCGTCACCACCACCTTTGACAGGCAACAGCAACAGCAACAGCAACAGCAACGAAGAACAACCACGGGCATCTGCGGCAGAGGCAACTACGGAGGAAACTGCAACACCACCCCCCACAGAGGGCGTGGAATTGGACGAAGAAATTACACCTTTTGTCCAACAAGAACCTACATCACCGGCTCTTCTTCCACGCATTCCAGGGCCTGTCTCAGAGAACCACGGCTACGAATGGTACCACAACAAGACACCCACGGACGTTCCCTTCAATGGTCCAACTCCATTCCGTGCCTGGGAAATGAAGTGTCAGATTTCATACCGCTCCTACACTCCTGGTTGCATCCCAGAAAAGGACAACAGCCTCCAGCCATTCGACTTCTTCATGGCCTGTTTCCCTAACAACCAGTTGAACTACATGGTGAAGAAGACGAACGAGGCCCTCAAGTCTGAAGCAAAGAAAGAGATGACTAAGGGCGAACTGCTTAAGTACTTTGGTGTGCTCTTGTTGATCACCCGTTTTGAGTTCGGCAATCGTCGCAACCTTTGGTCTGAACGTGGACGCAAGTACATGCCAGCTGCCAACCTTGGCAAAACCGGAATGGGCCGCCAGCGCTTTGAAGACTTGAACCGTTGCATCTGCTGGAGCTATCAGCCGCCCACCAAGCCAAGTGGTATGGAGTCCCAGCGCTACAGGTGGTTGCCTGTGTCTGGATTTGTTGACAGGTTGAATGATCACCGCCGCCGCTACTGGTCTGCCTCTGACATCATCTGTGTGGATGAATCCATGAGTCGCTGGTATGGTTTGGGAGGAAGCTGGATCAACGTGGGCTTGCCTCATTACATCGCACTCGACAGGAAGCCAGAGTATGGATGCGAGATCCAGAACTCTGCTGATGGAGTCACCGGCATTATGATGCAACTCAAGCTGGTCACTGCTACGGACACAGATCAAGAAGCCAGAGAACAAGAGGCTGCCATCGAAGATAACAGTGGGTAAGTGAACGTCTTGCATTCTTACTTGCTCATCGGTTCCTCTTTCTCACTTGTATATTCTTTTTTGTTCCTGGATCAGATACACACATGGGTGCAACATCCTCTATGACTTGGTGAAGCCTTGGTCAAACACTGACCGCATTGTGGTTGGCGACAGCTACTTTGCATCCGTTGGCACTGCCATGAGGCTCAAGACAGCGGGCTTCAGATTCATTGGTGTTGTCAAGACTGCAACCAAAGGATTCCCCATGCAATATCTTTCACGTCGCACCATGATCACAGGACGTGGAGATGTCCATGCGGTCACTGCCAAGAAGGACGATGTTGATCTATTGGCCTATTGTTGGGTTGATAGAGACCGTCGCTATTTTATTTCTACATGCAGCTCTATTGCTCCGGGTCCCCCTTGTGTCCGCCATCGTTGGCGTCAGACCAATCCCGACATCGAGTCGCCTGCAGAGAGAGTGGAATTGACCATTCCACAGCCAGAAGCTTGCAGCAAGTACTACTCCGCCTGTGGAACCATCGACCAGCACAACCGTGTCCGTCAACAGGCCATTGCCTTAGAGAAGAAGATGCGCACGAACACCTGGCATCGTCGCGTCAACATGTCCATCTTCAGCATGTGCGTCGTCGACGCATATCAGCTCATGAAAGGAAGCGTTGTCAACTGCGAGGTCGAACCACGTACCTTCATTGAAGTCCTTGCCGAGCAGCTCGTCGACAACAAGTGGGAGCAGCGCAACCTTCGCAAGCGAGAGGACAGGTGGGATACCAAAGAATGGGTGGAGAACACAGGAGGATCCAATACCCTGAACAGCATCTTTCAGATGACTGGTCCAACACCAACCAAGCGCATGAAGCCATGCAACCCAAAGCACCACTCCCAGGGCAAGTGTATTGTCTGTCGGCAAGGATCTTTCCAGGTTTGCCGTGAGTGCCAAAGGATGCAACTTGATCCCAAAGGGAAGCAGTATTGGATCTGTGACGCGGCTGGCAAGGAGTGCATGGGTCGCACATCCTCGAGTGTCACCCCGACAAGAACGCCATGCACTGCAAGCCCGTCTGGCGTTGAGCTGACTGTTGACTGTTGTGGTAGTCGGTATGCTATAGTGTCGGTTGGTATATGGTGAGTGTCGCCAAATGTTTGAATTGTATAGTCAGTTGAGATCGAATACTCACCTAATTGTTGTGGTGTCAAGTTTTTGAAAAGGTGTGGAATCCTACTTGGTGGTGTAGCGTAGGTGACCGTTGTCATAAATTAACAACAGAAATTTGAATTGTCCATTTTTCCTAAATCGTACAGTAAGTGGTATTGGGTTGCACTTCTGTTGTTATTCGGCGATTTCTGTCATTATTTAACAATATTTGCCTGTCGGATAGACACTAGCTAGTAGGATTTGGGCAGGACAGATATAAACTGTACTGGCGCTGTAGTCTACGTACTAGTACCATCCATGGACCAAAACCGAATGTACGGTACGTCATTCAGTCATCCGTCGAGTCGAGTCACAGTCAACTCGAATCGAATCAGAATCGAATCGAATCTATCTCGAAGAGATCTTTTCTCATTATTTATTTCGTCCTCTGCTACCGAGCATAGCATGGGTAGCCCATCTCATCTCTAATATATGATAAGAACAAGCAGCCGGAGGCTGATGCCCTCAACTGTCAAAAAGAGATTTGATTGGTCAAATCATTTACCGTGTTCAACTGGACACACTATTGATAGCAAGTCTCTTTAGCCAGCCAGTACGGGCACAGTGATATCAGTACCCATGGGTCCAGAGTACTGTGTCCAACAGAACACACAATATAAATCCCTATCCTTAACAAGGAAAATGTCCCTTATGTCTTTGGCAAAACCTCCACCGTGTTTATCTGGACACACTAGCGAGTCTGCATAGCAGCCAGTACTGGTACCCATGGTAAAACTACTGTGTCCAACAGAACACACAAGATTAATCCCTATCCTTAACGAGCGAAAAACAGCTGCAACAAACACACAAACACACAAACCACACACACACCACACACACACACACACACACCACACACACACACACATACAGCGATAAAAGTGTGAAAGACCCTCAGTCCGTTGAGGGCAATCCACTCGTTTATCTACATGTACCGATACCTGGTACCATGCCAAAGGAACGCTACAAGAAGCAGTGGACTGTCACTCGCACTCGTGATGCAACAGCAAAGGCAAAGACCAAAACCATCAGCAATTGTAAGCATAAAAAGAGATGGTGTGGATTGCTGCTGCTGTGTTTGGTGATCCAGGTACCATTTTTTGGTTTTGGTTCTGGTATTAGTACTGATGTATTCTTTGGATTAAAAGATATCAAAGTCAAACTACATGTACCGGTACCTATAGATCTATTAATGGTGGGGCCTGATCAAGATCTCATCGTGGCAGCCACTGAATTTGTCTTGTCCCGAGAACAAGCCTATGCCAACGCCCAAATCCACGCCCGTTGGAAGATGCGGGGCGTGGGCCACCTATACCATTACCACAATTTAACACTGGCAGCCCTGGGCACCCAAAATGCTGTTCTCATCTTCAATGTCCATCCTGTCACTTCCCGGTCCTTTCAAGACTGCCACCTGATTACTCTCTGGGCCATTGTCCAAGGGCCTGAGGTCTTTGCTGGAATGCCACAAGCAATCAATATTACACATACTGGTACTAGTACCACCAATGACAATGACAACCACAATGACAACCACAACAAGTACAAGTGCTACTGGAAATTCCAGTTTGCAAATGGTGGACAACAGCAAGCAGTACTTCCAGGAAACTACACTGTCAATGTCAAACTCATGCAGTGGAATGGCATGGCCAAAGTGCAGCTCTATGCAGCCCCACAATTTAGTGGGCAAGGCAGCGATTCGCAGTATGGGCCAGTATCATCGCAATGTCCTCATACTCACACGGGACAATTCATTTCCACAGAGGCATACCAAAAGGCACCTTTCAACACCACCTTGATTGGATTCAAATTCTATGAACCCTTGTCGGCGTGTTGCGAAATGTGCCGAAGAACTCCATTGTGCCAATACTGGGCCACTCCACCTCACCAGTTGCCACTGCCCTCTAGATCTGGGAATGGTTGTGAGTTGTTCTTCCACCAAGCAGCACAAGATGTTCCGCATTCACAAGTTCTGGAGGAAACCATTCGCAAACAACACACTCTCGTTGCACAAGAAAAAGCTGCAGCGCCAGCCAACAACAACAATCCACAGACCACTGCTAAAAGTGTCGTCAAAGCCTGGGGAAGTCCCCAAAGTGACAATGATCAAGTGGCCTATTTTCTGGGATGTGGATGGAGTGAGTTATTTCATAATGAGTTCCCATGCCTTTCAGAAGACCTGGATGACCAGGTAGGTATGGATACACCAGCCAATCGTTGTCATCGATCCTACCAGTACCACACAAAAACAAGCACCGTCACCACAACTGCCGCTCTGTGAAGCACAAGATGAATATGTTGCAATCAATACTAATGAATTTAGTTTGACAAACCAACGATATCGACTGGACAACAACGATAACCATACTGCCACAAATCCAACTTCCAGACAAATCATTGGACGATGGATTCAAAAACCGCATCCCACCACGGACGACTGTCCCATGCCATACGAGATTCTAAAAGGTCCATACAGTTCTCAAAATGCCATTTCAAGACCGGATCCTAATCGACCATATTGTTGGTACCGGGACGATTTGTCGCTTTTGAACAAGCACAAACCATGCAAACAAATCAACTGCAGACAACACGGCCAACAACAACAACAACAACAACAACAACAACAACAACAACAACAAACCACCAGCCACAAACAATATCAACAAGAGTGGATGGCTGTGTGGAACAATTATCATTGTGATTACATGGACTTTACCGACCAGCAATTGTCGCAGTGCTTTCAAACTCTCAAGATTGCTTCCATTGACACGAGAGGGGCATCCATTTCTGGCTTTATGAAGAAATACTTTCTGACACGGCTGGCCAATGTGACAATGTATTCCCCAGCACAAAATAATAATGATCCCGAAGCCAAGTACGTTTGGGTCAAGACATTGCACTGGCCACATCTCTTGTGGCATCAAAGCATGGACGCATGGGAGGCCACACTGCAAAAAGAAAAGCGAAAAGCCCATGAAATCGTGTTTTGGATCACTCCCTTTTTCATCAGTAGTGAACGGGAAACCTACTTGCATCTAGGACGGGCCATGCAGTTCATGGATGTTGCAGAACAAGTCTTGACGCCCAAGGGATATCAAATGATCAATCTTTTTGATCCTTCAGCAGCATTCACGGTACGTACATGTAGAATTAGAGTAGAGTGAAACGGAAGTTTCGCCGAGCAACCTACCGTACCGGTACTGACACTTAGCCTACTGTCTTCTGCCCCCTCTCTTCAGTACGACACTGCAGGGCAACAGGACGGGCTTCATATTATTGGGCCACCAATGAAATTGGCTGTGACCAAGGTGTTCCATCATTTGTGCTCCAAGGTTGTTGAGGGGACTCGAATCTAGCTTGGCGGTGCTTTCTGGGACGGGTCATTCGAGGTCTGACTGATCAAAGGGGGCCACTAATAACAAACGAAAGGTTGGGCATGGCTTATGGAAGGGGTTCGTGGCGTTAAAGGCAGGCCTCGCCACTGGCAATAGAGCGAAGGGGAAACGATCGAGTGACAAAGCCTAAGGGGGCAGCATAACACATCTTAACGTAAGCAGTAAGCGTGAATGCTTTGCGGCAACGAGCCACTCGTAGTGCTGGGGCATCCAGCCAGGAGAGTAGTTGTGGCAGGATGCATACCAGGAAGGACTGTTCCAATCCACATTGGCAATCGCAATGTCGTGCCCACCATTCCAGCGTTGACCCAAAACCGAAAGTTGTCCTCAATCATGAGATGCGCGGGGCTTATGGGTGGAATGTCATTGGGCGTACTGTAGTTGCGACTTCCCACGTACAGATAGGTTGTGGAAAATGCGTAGTCAGTCGTTTTTGCAAAGGGGGTTGCTTTCGTTGTCGTCGATATCATCATGACCCAAACCCAAACCGTTGCCGCCAGCAGCAAGTAGATCCAGAGGAAGAGGAACGCTTCTGTAGAGTTTCGTCTCGACGTAAAAGCTGTCATCATGAGATATTGTCCTTTCGTTCGTTCAATGAGCGCAATGAGCCAAAACAAGGAGACATGATCTGAGTCCTATCACACGTGTTGGCAGTCACGGTTTAGGACTCCCTGAAAGCTCCACGTTGCGCGCAACGCAACAACTCACAGAGACCCTCGAGCTGTGCTTTCTTGACTGTTGATTGGTTGAGCTATTGGTTGCTTGTTCAGCGTTCAGCGTTCAGCACCAGCTGTTCAGCGAACTTCCGCCGTTCACCCCTCTTCCCAGCCAAAAATCTACTGTAAACGTGATGATATCCAATAATTCCCATGTTTCCATCAGCCCAAATTTGCTTGTAAAAGTCATGCAATTCAATAACTCTCAGTTCACCATCGATCACGAGAACCAAGAACCAAGCGAGTTCATGTTCATGTTCATGTTCATGTTCATGTTCATGACAATGTCATTTATTTATTTGTCATTGTTCATGAGAATCGTGAGATCGTGGACGACTGATGAGAAAAGAGAGAACCCGCAAGAGTGTGTCTGAAATTGGAACTGCGGGAAACGCAGTTCATTTTGCGAGATGCTAGGCGCACTGGCGGCACCTTGGTGGGAGAGGGTGCGGTTCCTGGCACATGTAGTGACGACGAAGAAAGAATTCGAACTCTGCAACTCCAAAAAGTTGCACGGTTTCTAATAATGATCAAGTTCTGCTCTCAAAATCTCTTTCGGCTGGAACAGCTAAAACTAAACTATTCAGCCATTCGGTAGCAATAGCATCAATCCTTCCTAAAGAGTTGACTGAGTTAGAAACGATTGAATCGGTTCGATGCTAGATCTATGCAAGATCTACTGGATAAATGAGACAGAAAACTGACATATGATAGCTCGGATCAATGAGCAACCCGATGTGCGAGCCTTGGGAAAGTCCAGGCGAGTTCACAACAGCGTAGTCTCAGATCGATTTATTTCCCGCAATGGTGATGATTTTGTCCACTGGTATGAATGACCCTGCCTGTGCGTTCGAAGAAGAACTTTTCGTGACTTGAGACAATACAGAGGACACACTACATTAAACCTTTATGATGCAGCTAGATCTATGATCTATGTCCACCGTAGTAAATATCACAATCTACGGTACTGTACAATATACAAGTACTGGTTGGCCGCTTGGCCAACTGGCCAACAAACCAACAGCTTTTACCTTTTACAGCTGTTTTACCTAGTAGCGACAGAGTTTACCGGCACCTTTAAACCTCCACCTCCTCCAGCACTCTATCACAACAGAACCCAACTTTAAAACTCGAAACGGCAAAACACTCCTGCACACAGCCAACAGCATCGCGAACAGCAGTCCTCATCAACAACATCGAACATCTATCTGATCTCTGATCTACTAGAGCTTAAGTCAAGTTAAGTTAAGTCAAGTTGGCAAGTTGGGTACGGTAACAGAACAAGGCACAATGGTAACTCTGAACAGCGAGAACAGCGGAACTGAGCACACTCCCACCGGTACTGCGGGTACCGGTTCTAGTAGCAGTAAGATGGGTATCAATCAGGAGATGAAGATGATGACTAGAGAAAGCTTTGAAGATGATGGAGAGAGTCTTCACTCTGGTGTGTCGAGCAATTATCCCAACAATGACGCAAATGGTAGAAGCGATTTGTACACGGAACTGGAAGTGGCCAAGAAAGAGGATATTTGGGTATTTTGGTTGCGGATCTTGACAACCTTGGTGTTGCTGACTGTTGCCGTGACTGTTTGTGTGGTGGTCTATTTGGAAGGCAGAAAGAGCGAAACCAAGGCTTTTGAGCAGGACTTCTCTGACTTGGGAGAAAAGATGGTTCAAAGCTTTGAAGCCAAGGTGGAACAACGCTTGGGCGTTATCGAGGCTTTTGCAGAGTCCGTCACCTCGGATGCCAATCACTCGTTACCCTTTGTCAATCCTCCCAATTATGCTTTCCGAGCGGAAACTGTTGCCATTCTGGCGCAACTCTTTTTTATCGTTATACTTCCCGTTGTCCCAAGAGATCAACTTCAAACTTGGAATCAGTATGCACAGGAAAACCAACAGTGGAGAGCCGAAGGATGGGCACAAGTCGTCGGAGTCAATCCAGAATCTATCAATGTCACTGAAGTTGGATTTAATCCCATGCCAGGGCAAATGATGAACTTTCACAATCCAAATGGACCTGGTCCGGTACAAAAAGTCGCTCCCAATCAAACACAATACTTTCCAATGTGGTGTACTTGGCCTGTCAATCCTGGAACTATGGCCAATGTTGACCTGTATGGAGATGTAGAACATCGAGTACCCATGGATACCACCGTCAACACTGGAAAACCTACCTTTGAAATCAGCACTGACTACATCGACAAGGAAAAAGATGGAAGATATGGAATGCTAAAGAGAAATACGCTTTTCGATTATCAAGATGATCCTCATGCCGTGGCATTCTACCCAATCTTTGACAAGTTCTCCTACTACGAAGACTCAGACTCGGACCCGGATCCACCCAAAGTCGGTGCTGTATTCCTCATCATGATCTATTGGAGAACGTACTTTGACAACCTCCTACCTCCGGGAGCCGATGGCATCTTTGTCATCCTAGAGAACACTTGCGATCAGGTCTACACCTATCGCATTGATGGAACATCCTCACTCTTTGTGGGACATGGCGATCTACACGACCCAAAGTACGACTATCTCGAAGCTGGAACCTCCATCGGAAACATTATCAACGCACAAGTCCTAGATGACAACCAGAATGGATGCCATTACAGCATCCGAGTATACCCCTCACAAGACTTTGAAGACGATCATCGAAGCAACAAGCCATGGATCTACGTACTTGTGCTGGCGTCGCTCTTTCTCTTTACGTCCGCTGTCTTTTTGATCTATGATCACATGGTCGAACAACGACAGAAAATTGTACTCCAATCGGCACAACAGTCAGGCAAGCTCGTCAATACACTCTTTCCCGAAGAAGTCCGGGATCAACTCTATCAAGAGCAACAAGAGGAAGCCAACAAGAAACAAAAACAAAAGGGATGGGAAAACACCACCACCGTTCCAAACGAACCTGCCACAGATGCTCTCGTTAATCGTGCCTCGACCATGGATAACAATACGGAACATGGAAAAAAGGCCATTGCCAGTTTGTACCCTGAAAGCACCATCTTCTTTGCGGATCTAGTCGGTGAGTACATGCAGTAACTCCAGTGCAGTGGAGCGCAGGATGTATGATTGAAAGTCGGTTTCGTGCCTAACCCAACATTCTCGCACTGTTTCTCCTTCTGCACCATTCGTCCGTTCATTTGTACGTGCAGGGTTTACTTCCTGGTCTGCCAAGCGAACTCCCGTTGAGGTCTTCCAGTTGCTCGAAACGATATGTAAGTCCATGAGAGCTGTACTCATTGGCTGCTACACCCGATCAAATGACATTCTCACATCAATCAACCACTCCGTTTCTTGACACCAGATGGAGCGTTTGACAACATTGCGCTCAAGCGTGACGTATTCAAAGGTACGCGCCAGGAAAACGCCTGGGTTCATGCATATGCCTTATGCATTTCGTTGGTAGCTCATCGTGACTGCCTTGCTTTGCCTTTCCTGCCACTACTCTACTACCTAGTGGAAACTATTGGAGATTGGTAAGCACAGTGCCGTCCGTTGTGGAACATGCCGTTTATTAGCAACTCGATGACCTAACGCCATCGCCACCGTTCTTGTGCACAGCTATGTTGCCGCAACAGGTCTGCCACAGCCCCAGCCGGATCATGCAATCATCATGTGTAAATTTGCAACGGATTGCATGAACAAAATGAAGGTGATGATGTCATCTCTGGCCGACACAATGGGAGAAGATACTGCTGATCTGGCCATGCGCGTGGGGCTGCATTCGTAAGTTGCAATCCAACTGCTGTCCAAGAAAAGAGACTCATGTTGCTACGCCCATGAGCTGACCCCTTGTTCGCTCTTCATTCTCGTCTTGCTCCAATCGAATCTCAGTGGACCAGTGACCGCCGGAGTTCTGAGGGGGCAGAAATCTCGTTTTCAGCTTTTTGGTAAGTTGCCTCATGGATCGACTGATGGAGCGAGAAACGAAGTCAGCCAGCAGGACAAGGCAGTGTGTTCTTATCCTTTCTCCGTTTCACACTTTCGCATTTGCAGGTGACACGGTGAACACGGCGTCTCGAATGGAATCCAATGGACTACCACATCGCATCCATGTCTCTCAGGAAACAGCTGATGCTCTTCGTGCAAAGGGCAAGGGAATGTGGTTGACAACTCGTCCGGACAAGGTCCAAGCTAAAGGCAAGGGACTTTTGCAGACCTATTTTGTAGACACAACATCTAAGTCCAGGTCGGTTGTTTCGGCGTTGACCCTTGGAGAAACAACAATTGCCTCGGGGGACAACATGGACAACACGAGTCATGCCAGTGGCAGCACTGAGAACGCTCCTCAGCACAGCGGTTTACCGGATGACCTGGCAGGGTTCACAATAGACGGTGCCGGAGCAGTGCATGCCAACGAGAACAACAACCATGATGGTGATAGTATCAGTCGAGGAGATGAAACACAAAGCACTGCTCCACAACGTGACACATTCTGTGACGAGTTGCCAGGGAA